CGTCAGAGCCAATATTTAATCACACAGAGTTATAGAGCAGAAACAGTAGCCATGAAAATGTGTATTTCATTTTAGATTATCTTAACAAATAAACCAGGAAACAATAGAAAACAAAATTGAAAATTCCGGTTTTTTTTCGAATATATTCGGAAGTATTCGGAATTTTTCAAAATGCAATACGGCATTTTATTGAGCATCAAATTGCGCAACTTTGCCTCCATTTAACCGATCCTGTATCTCTTACGGTTTCTGAAATCCCAATGATGAGCCTCGAATTCGAGCGACCCTATACAGTATAAATAAATGTATGATAATAATTAATTCAAGCCCTAGACATCATTAATTTACTTGTATTCTTTATTCCTTAATAGCGCTTACTACCACTTGGCTTTAAAAAGGTTGTAATTTCTTTTTAAATTGTGTAAACATGATTTTTAAATAGTTTAGTTTAAAATTCAAGAAAAAAATAAGTTTTGGAAATAGATTTTTATATCTGGAAACGATCTATCCTTTCAGTCTTTTTAAAATTAATATTAATTTTTGCCAAGTTTTATATGAATTTTTGGTAAACGACGCCTAGAGGTTGACCTCGCTAAAATTATCACTGATTGTCATTCCCCAGCCGTCTGTGACGCCGTTTTTATTTAATCATACCCTACATTTAATGTTGAAACGATGTGTAACAAATGCCCTTATCCATTTTTTTTGTTGGGCAGAGTTTAGCAAATGTAGATATGTTTTTCACAATATTGCGGGTTATGAGACACTTTTAGTTTGTAAAATAAAGTAAAAGAAGAGCTTACGTTAACATAACAGTGTTGTACAAAATACTTATAAATACAGAGATAGGTTAGATTTTTTGAATAAATTTCTAAGAATTTCTAAAATTTTAAAATATTATTTTTCACAAATGTACAGTGAGTCAACGATAGAGTAAAGTCCATTATCTCATTTGTTTCGAGGTTCACAAAAAAATGTTTAATATAAAAGTTATAGGGAAGGTTAAGATACACATTTTAAAATTATTGTAGAGTATACAGGGTGCTTCAAAAAAGTGTGGCGGATATAACATATATTTTTTTAAACCCAACACCCTATTTTTTATTTTATTTTTAGATTCTGCGTAAAATTCCATAACTTTTTTATATATGATGTTATATACCTAAAATTAATAGTTTTTGTAATATTTAAATTTGTTTAAACAAATGGTAAATTGCTGTGTGACAAAAAATTGTCAGTGGTACCATTGTTTCTGAAGTTGCAATACCAAAATTTGGTATGAGAGTTTTATAATGATGAAAAAAAGGATATATGTAAAGATATTTTAGTTAAATGCTACAGGGTGTTCAAAATATATTTATGAATTTCAACTACTTAAAATTAAAAAATCTCAAATTTTTCAAACGGTACACCCTATATATTTTCATTTTTTCTGATAGATTTTGCAAAGCTCTTCAACTTTTATTAAGTATGTCATATACCTATTTTTAATAGTTTGCGATGTATTCCAATTTTTTCTATTTTTACACTAATTTTTAATACAATCACGCTATAACATCATAGTTGCCGTGACAAAACGAAAGTATTTACTACTTATCTTTAACAAGTAGTTTAATAATTAATTGCAATAATTGTTATTATTAGTTAAAATTAATTAAATTTACTCAAATCAACTAAAATCGTAATCGTGAATTTCTTGGTGTATTTCTATATTACGAAAGATAACACTTGGATTTTCCGTCGGGGCTAATAGCCACAGATTAGGGTTATACTAACTAGATTATCTAATTGTTGACGACTACCGATATAGAAATTTTTTTTGAGATACAGTCATACAGTAAAATTTTTTCTCGTAGTAATTCTGGTTTATAATTCATTTCATAAAGCCAATATTATAGCTGCGAAACCGTCCCATTACACACTGAAAATAATATAATATAATATGAAAATGTTTTCTAGATAATCTACATCTATTCTTACAGTACTTAGCAAAGTACTATGTAATATATCGTACTGAGCCAAAAAAATATGTTTATCTTGGCTTGTTCGTGTATATCAGTCACATTGACTAATTCATTTTCAGGAAAATCTGTAAAACTATTATCTTTACCTCTACCATTTATACTTATTACAACAAAGTAAACTAAAATTCACGTTTTGTTCTTAACTTGCTTAACAGACATATGAAATTTTGATCATTATTATTTTTTGTCATGGCAACTATGATGTTATAGCGTACCTAATTGTATTAAAGATATGGTAAAAATAGAAAAAATTGGAATAAATCGCAAACTATTAAAAATAGGTATATGACATATTTAATAAAAGTTGAAGAGCTTTGCAAAATCTATCCGAAAAAATGAAAATATATAGGATATTAAAAATTAAAAAATCTGAGATTTTTTAATTTTAAGTAGATGAAATTTATAAGTATATTTTGAACACCCTGTAGCATTTAACTAAAATATCTTTACATATATCTTTTTTTTCATCTTTATAAAACCCTCATACCAAATTTTGGTATTCCAACTTCAGAAAAAATGGTACCACTGACAATTTTTTATCACACTGCAATTTGACATTTGTTTAAACAAATTTAAATATTACAAAAACTATTAATTTTAAGTATATAACATTATATATAAAAAAGTTATAAAATTTTAGGCGGAATCTAAAAATAAAATAAAAAATAGGGTGTTGCATTTAAAAAAACATATGTTATATCGACCACACTTTTTTTATGCACCCTGTATACTCTATAATAATTTTGACATGTGTATCCGAACCTTCCCTATAACTTTTATATTTAAATTTTTTTTGTAAACCTCGAAACAAATGAGATAATGGACTTTACTCTATCGTTGACTCATCCTGTACAATTTCTGATAATAAATTTAAAGGAAGGAAAGGTAACTTACCTCCCATAGTAAGTTTGCAAATTATCCCACTAAATATCTCTGAAAACCCTGTATATGCACAAGAATTCTTTTTTATTTTACTACTTTGTTTTAGTAAATTTTTAGTATTTTTATTTAATTATTTTTCATAAATTTTAAACCCTATTTTACAGTATATACGGTAATCTTCGAAATTTGTTTTATTATTACTAAATCCTCCCTTTCAAAATGTTTTTTTAGGCACTGCTATTGGCAGTAATATAATATTCTGCAGCGTTTCGGGCCAAAATCAATTTTCTAATTTCACGCGTATGTGATTTCAGTCTGCCTCTGAAAAGCTTTGTGCCTGTTGTTTGTTGATGTATTTTGCGATATTTTTTCAGCCATATATGTATATTAATGAATATAAAATATTTTTTTATTTAATTTATCTATGAATGATATTTGCTTAATATTATATTTCTCTCTTTTAATTAATTTACGAAAAAATATGTATCAGTATTAGAATATAAAATATAGTCTATAAAATGAATAACTTTGAATTTTGACCGTTATTTTTACCAACATGGCAAATATAAAATCCCCCTGTCAAAAAAGTTACTGATATTCTTTAAATTGAGTGCCTGAACGAACCAGATGGGTAACTCTTTTTACTTTCGTGAAATAGAAAAGGAAAATAATAAAACAAGTGACAGTTCTTCCTCTTCTTGTAAAAATAAACACAAAATGTCATAACTGACAAAAGTAAAATGTCATCAGCTTTTGACATTTCTAAATATTAGACCAATGCCGTCTCTAATAGAACAGCCACGGAGCGAGATTTGACGTCACGCTAGTTAGATACAACGGATTAATAAATATGTTGTAGAATACATGGAAAACATAATTATTCCTCGTATTTTTGGTTTGTATTTTAAAAATGATATAGTTTACATGAAATATACATAATATACAGTTAATAAATACAATATAATATATACCTATTTATAGTAATAAATACTTTGGCAAATAAACTATGAGCCATACAAATGCAGCAAATGTTTTACAATATACAAATAATGAATAGGTGGTACATAAGATAATGGGTAAAATGTAAAATATATTTTAAATTTTGGGGTTTGAAAATCGATCTAATTTAACAAAAAACATTCAATATATATTAATAGTGATGTATTATTATTTGCATTCACAAAATTTATTTATATATTATAATGTTTACTGCAATTAATAAACTAATACAAACTTGTCAAAAGATGACCACATATTTTTAAAAATTATTATTCTTAACACAAAAACTATCTACATTGACTATGGAGTACGATTTCAGCCATATTGTAAAACATTTGCTGCATTTGTATGGTTCATAATTTATCTGCCAAAATATTTATTACTATAAATAGGTATATTATTGTATTTATTAACTGTATATTATGTATATTTCATGTAAACTATATCATTTTTAAAATACAAACCAAAAATACGAGGAATAATTATGTTTTCCATGTATTCTACAACCTATTTATTAATCCGTAGTATCTAACTAGCGTGACGTCATAAATCTCGCTCTGAGGCTGTTCTATTATAGACGGCATTGCGTCAGCATGGCCGCAAGTTGCTAACCTAATAAAATTAACACTAGAAAAGCCCGCGGGAACTGCCAAATTCAAAGTTATTCGTTTTACAGACTATACTCAGTATTTAGTAAATTTAATCTAAATTAATAAAAATAAAAACAGAAACAGAAAGTAAAAGAAAGCCAGAGAACGAAATCAAGTTTTTTTAACACAGAATCAATAATTCTATAGTATATTTAACAAAACTTTGGTTGCATGTCATCAATTACACCATATTTGAATCTCCGAAATATCGAAAAAATAATTTTATTTATTTATTTCACACCTTCTCGGGGGTAAATAATCTTTCACAATTCGTTTTTAAATCGTTTAAAATAACTTATATCAAAAATTCAAGTCTTTACTGAAACTTCTTATTTAAAGACCTATTTTCTTGGACTACAAAAGAACAATAAATTCTCTGAATTTATTGTTCCTATTTACATATTTTATTACTTACTTTCACTAACATTTTTCTATTTTCTTCCAGTAATTCGAGAAGAATTCCGACAAGAACCCCAAAGTGCCCGAGTGGCAGCTGGCGAAGACATCATCATGGAATGCGCCTCGCCCAGAGGAACCCCAGAACCTCAAGTTTTCTGGCGAAAGGACGGCCAAACTCTGGATCTGGGAGGTAGACTGAAGTTGGTGGACGGTTCTAACTTGGCTATTACTGATTCCAAACCTTCTGATGATGGAAGATACCAGTGTGTTGCGAAAAACACAGCTGGCATTAGAGAAAGTGCTCAGGCTATATTGAAAGTGTATGGTAAGTGCTTTTTTATTTTCTATTAAAGTAAAATTGCAATTTTAAACAAAACTGTGCTGCTTTTATTGAGATTAAGGTTAATTTTGGTTTGATTTTTAAAGCAACTTTTTTTATTTGTGAAATACCACTAGTGGTATACCGGATGCGTCTCAAAAGTTGCTCACCCCTATAACTTTTATATTTTTTCACTTAAAAAAACGAGATTTGGTATGTTAGTATATGACATAAATTAGGCTTGATTGAGGTATTCAATTGTTTTCGGTCACTTCTTGTTTCACCGGAAATGACTACAACTTTTGATTTTTAAATGGCACCCTCGGTATTTTTTTACTTTATTAGATGAAAATGACATTCTGAATAGAATGACATATGATATGTCAACTTTTGACATTCTCGCTTAATAAAAAATCGTAATTTAAATTTCAATCTAGTGTGCCATGGCTATGTTAAAAATACTCATGTTTAATCAAGGAGCCTTGGAAAAATAGATTTGATCACCTAATGTTTTTAGTGTCTTGTTCTGGCCGGTTAAAAGATCCCCAAATACTACCCGTACTTTTAATCATATCTCATTTTTTCAAACGGAACGAGGATGGATCATTAGCATATTTGGAAAAAACATTTTTTTACGAATAATTTGATACCACACACTTGGTATTTGGAGTCAAATTTTCGTTATGAACCGCATGTTATAACTTGAAATAAACCATATGCGAAAATATCAAAAGTTGACATATGATATGTCATTCTATTCAGAGTGTCATTTTCTATCGAATAAAGTAAAAAGGGTGCCATTTTGAAATCAAAAGTTGTAGCCATTTCCGGTGAAACAGGAAGTGACCAAAAGCAATTGAATACGCCAATCAATCCTAATTTATACCAAATCTTATTATATACAGGGTGAGTTTCCTACGATGTTCTCTATGGGCATCTCGGAAACTACTGGAGATAGAGAGTCGTTTAAATGAGGAAAGAATTGCAGTTTTGTGGGGTCATAAATATGCGCCTTTCAGATTTTTGAAAAAGTTCATGACTTACTAGATATTTCGAAAAAAAACAAATTTTGGCTATTATTAAATTATTAATTATTAAAAATTGTCCCTAATTCCATTACAATCTATTTTAGACAAAAAGTGTTCAGATAAAAGTTGTAGATAATCACATTCCTAATGAGTTTGTGTTCTCCGATTTTTCATAAAACCGTTTTTTTAAATGGAAACCGTAGTTGGCTAAGTCTTCATAAAAAGCGCCATTTTTTAAGCTTTTCAGCAATATAAGCTATAATATGTTTCTTTCACAAAATTACTGAGTTATAGCCAATTCTTATCTTTCTTGACTAATTTCACTTAGTTAGCCATGGAAACAAGTTCAATCGTCGTTGCTCTCAGAAATGTGAAATTGTGTCACATCCAATCTTTGTAAATTAAAATAAACAAAAATTGTAAATAAAAATCTTACAAAAGAAGAAAAGCGTATAGGATTATTGGTTCAACTTTTCTTGGCCATACAAGATACTTTGACCGGTGAAAGTTACTTACGTTTTTTAGAGAACGGGTTTCAATGGTGTTCAAATTTTGTTGTGATTTATAACTTATAAAAAGACAAAATATGTTATTAAACGGCTCTTTACAATTTAGATTACACAAACTAAAACTCAAAAAAATAATAACACTACGTACACTTTAAGTTATTTTAGAAAATGTTCAAAAAATCCGCAATTATTTTGTGTACATAAATGCATCTTTTTAAAACTGAATTTCTAGCTATTATCACAGAACGATCGGTCGACTTAATTAAACTTCTCCTGTTCCGCCTCTTCGAGTGCCTCTCTTAATTCATAAGTATTTTTGTAAACCTTGTTGTTAACCATACCGCATAAAAAAATCTAAAATGGATAGGTCAGGTGACCGAGGAGATCCATGCAATTGGTCCACCTCCCTGAGTCTACATAATTATGATATAAATAATTTTTTAAATAACATTTCTTTCATTGTGGGGGGTTTGGTGCGTCATAATGAAGTCATGTAAGAGAGTTCCAACATAAGTCATGTTGGAACCACTGTATTAATGCGCGAGTATCTAAATTTAACTTTTCTAACATGTCTTGAAACCCGTTTTCTAAAAAACGTAACGTTCGCCGATCAACGTATCCTCGAAACTGTATGGCCAAGAAAAGTTGAACCAATAATTCTACACGCTGTTCTTCATTTAAAAAACTCTTATTTACAATTTTTGTTTACGTTAATTTACAAAGATTGGATGTGACAATTTCACATTTCTGAGAGCAACGACGATTGAACTTGTTTCCATGGCTAACTAAGTGAAATTAGTCAAGAAAGATAAGAATTGGTTATAACTCAGTAATTTTGTGAAAGAAACATATTATAGCTTATATCGTTGAAAAGCTTAAAAAAACGGCGCTTTTTATGAAGTCATGGCCAACTATGGTTTCCATTTAAAAAAACATATGTTTGTGTCATATGTCAAAAATGACAGGTTTTAGTAAAAATCGGAGAACACAATCTCATTAGGGATGTGATTATCTACAACTTTTATCTGAAAACTTTTTGCAAAACTTGCAAAAATAAAACAAAAAGTTCATATCAACTTGTAAGATTTAAAGCTTCCTTTTCAAAATACAGGGTGTTAAAGTTACTTAAAAAAGGAAAAAAATTAAGATATTTGAAAAACTATTTACTCGATTTTGATATAACTTGACCCGTTTATAATACTTACTATGGGACTTAATTTGATGTAATTAGATTTAAGTTTAATGGCCAGGGGCGGCGGTGGGGCATCACTGTTAAATTATTTTAAAGGAAAAAATAGGCACGCCACTGCTTTTTTAGAAGTTTAATATTATTTTTGGATTTAGTAGTTAAAAATACTATTTTTTTGTCTCCTAACTTTTTTGTCTATCTTGCTTACTTCTTGCGAAAAAAAATAAATTCCAATTGGTAATTAATATTATAATTTGTATTCTAATGGTACCCTCTATCTTGAAAAGGAAGCTTTAAATCTTACAAGGTGATATGAACTTTTTGTTTTATTTTTGAAAGTTCTATCGTCTATTAAATTTTCCAGATTAAAATCTGAGACACCCTGTATATACCTTCTTACCTTATCAACACCGTTTTTTTTTTATCTGAAGAAATAAAAAATTTATAGGGGTGAGCCATTTTTGAGACACACCCGGTATTTCCAAAAGAAAATTCTTATGAAAAAACATTCCATCATTTTTAAACTTTTAATGCTACAACATTTTGTTTTATTTTCAGTAAAACCATTTATTGTCCACCCACCTGAAGACGTCATAGCCCTCGTTGGCTCCACCGTCGATATCCCGTGCGTCGTTCAAGGAGACCCCATCCCGGACGTCCTCTGGAGACGTCAAGCCCCTGGAGGTACTATGCCACTGGGCAGAGTCAGAGTCCTCGAAGACCGTACCCTCAGAATAGAAAGCATAACCCTCATGGACCAAGGGAAATATACCTGTGACGCTGATAACTTTGCTGGCGCCACATCAGCTAGTGCATTTTTAACAGTTCAAGCACCACCAACTTTTAGTACCAGACCTCAAGCACAAACTGTGGAAACAGGACAGCAAGTTTCATTTCATTGTCACGTTACGGGGAGTCCTAAACCCATGATCTTCTGGTCTTTTGAAGGAGACAGGTCTTTAGTTTATCCAGGATCACCAGCTGGGAGTTTTGAGGCTTTTACTTCTGCTGAAGGACATTCAACTTTGATTTTGAAGAACGCACAAGTACAAAACTCGGGAACTGTGATTATTTGTTCTGCTACAAACGAAGCTGGATCGGTATCAACCAGAACAAGACTAACAGTCACTTCAAAAGAAGATAGACCACCTCCAGTGATTATCAGAGGCCCTAGCAACCAAACACTACCTATAAACTCGATGGCCTACCTGATATGCGAAGCAACAGGTACTCCAAAACCTATGATATCGTGGTACAAAGAAGGAGACCCTGTAACTCCGTCTCATCGAATTAACATGACTAATCCTTCCCAAGTTGAGGTTTATAACCTGGAAAAAGATGATTCAGGTCCATACACTTGCGTGGCTTCTTCAAGAGGTGGTAAAGCAACCTGGACTGGATATCTTTTAGTTGAAAACCCAAAGAACCCCAACATAAACTTCTTTAAAGCCCCTGAAGCTGTTATGGTTCCTGGTCCACCTAGTAGACCTCATGCACTGAACCAATCTGAAGGTAGTGTAACTATTACGTGGGGTCAGAACAATAAGATTGGCTCTTCGAGTCTTTTGGGGTATCAGATAGAGCTTTTTGGTAGAGAGGAAGGTGTTACTCCAACATGGACTATCGTAGGAAGAAGAGTACAAGGCCCAACGTTTACCCAACATCTTCTGTCTCCTGGAACGCCTTATACTTTTTTGGTTAGAGCTGAAAATTCTCATGGACTTGGTCCACCGTCTCCTTTGTCAGAACCTGTGATAGTTGGTCCGGATTTAGGGCAAAATTGGGGTAATCCAGAAGTGACGATACTGAGTGAAGCACGGGCTAGCTTGGTGACAACTCCAAACGTTGTAAAATTAGTTAATGCCATGCCAGTGTCTTCTACAGCTATTAAACTGACCTGGGAAGTAACCGATGCTACGTTTGTGGAAGGATTGTATATATATTACGTGAACCAGGAAGGTAGTGCTGAGGTTCCGAAGAGTTACAACATGCTCAGTGTGTTGTATACAGGGGGAACGACTACTTTTACTATAAATACCTTGGAGAAATGGACTAAGTATCAATTTTTCTTGGTGCCGTTTTATAAAGCTATTGAGGGACAACCTTCGAACTCCAGGACAGTGAAGACTATGGAAGATGGTGAGTTTAAAATGATTTTTAGTTTGTATTAGTGGTGGTTATATTAGAAGATATGTTTATTCTTTCGTTAATTTTTGCTAATTATGTTAGCTTCATAGGCAGATTATTGGTTAAATGGCTTAATTTAAATTTAACTTGTGAACATTTGAATTTTTAAAAAGAGATAAAAATGTGGTTTAAAAAACGTTTATAATCTCTTTTATCTCTTATTTATTACTAACTATTTTTGGAATACTGTGGTTGATTTTTTAACATTTTTTTATTTAGTTCCAAGTGAACCTCCCTCAAACATGGAAGCTCACCTCCTAAACTCAACCGCTGTCAAACTCAAATGGAAATCTCCATCACTCGCATCGCTTCATGGTGAAATCCAAGGATACAAGCTAGAAGTCAAAAGAAACGATACAGATACATTTAGCCTTATAAATGTTGGTACTGCTCCTTCGTACTTGCTCGGGAACCTGTCCTCTGGAATACTGTACTACGTGAAGATTGCTGCTTTTACCAGAGCTGGAGTTGGTCCGTTTAGTCCACCGTCGACTTTGAGGCTGGATCCAGCGTCTAAAGTGATCGATAATAATTCTAAAAGGTAATTTTTTTAAATAAAATACTTCTAAGTTGATAGTGGCTTGTAATAAGTAATAATAAAAATATTTACAGTACTTATTCTGAATATTCTAAGGTCTAAAAGTGCCCAGAATACTTAATAATGTCACTAACTAAAATTTCATGTTTCTAGATTCAGATGTGACGAAGTTTTATACGATTTTTCATCCCTAATTTTACCTTTTTATTATACAGGGTCGCTTTTATGTATGGAAACTGTCGATTATTAGGTAAAATATAGGAGGTACCGCAAAAAGTTACATACAAAAGTTATAGGATTTTTAAATATCTATTAGCGAGTAATAAATTTAAGTATACAGGGTCGTTCATAAAGTCGTGACACATCAAAGTTTCATTTTTTAAATAGAACCCTCTGTATATTATTACATATTTCAATTCTTCCTTCAATTCTAAGCAAAAATCGAAATACATACAATGTACCTCAAAGCAACCGTTTCCGAGTTATTGAGTTTTGAAAATATGATTTAAACAATTCGATTTAATTAATTTCGATGTGTTTGGTTTGATTTAATGGTGCCATTCTGCCGAAACTGTGATACTGTTTTAAGTTGTAATGGGATTTTAAATTCCTATTAGCTACTAGAATATATATACAAGGCTACTAGTCAATTTAAGTATACAGGGTCGCTTTGGTATACTTTTAACAGACAGGCAGAAAAACTTAACATGCAAATTTCCACAAATAAGACCAAATGCATGACCATTACAAAGGAGCCTCTACGGTGCAAATTGGTAATAAAAAACAAAACTATTGATCAGATAATGTCATTCGAATACCTCGGATGCAAAATTACAAGCTCGGGATTCCTGGAAGAAGAAGTAAGGAAACAAGCCAATAAAGCTGCCGCAATATCAGGACATCTTAAATATCCCATGTGGAAAAACAAACATTTGAGTACAGAATGTAAGTCAAGAATATACAAAACCTGCATACGACCAGTGATGACATATGGTGCGGAAACCAGAGCTGAAACATCAGTAACAAAGAGAATCCTACGAACTACTGAAATGAAGACCTTAAGAATGATAACTGGATACACATTGAGGGACAGACAGAGAAATGTAGACATAAGAGAAAAGTGCCAAACAAACGACGTTGTCAGATGGATAAGGCAGAGAAGAAGAGAATGGAACCAGCATGTCAATGGAATGGGCCCCGACAGAATGGCCATAATAATTCGCAACAATGTACCCCATGGCAGAAGACCTACTGGACGACCACCTAAACGTTGGCCAGACAGTTGGCAGTCAACCTCGCAAGAGTTGCTTAGACGAGGAGGAAACCGGAACTAAACAGGCGATACGCCTTCTAAAAGAAGAAGAAGAAGAATAGAAGGGTCGTTCCTAAAGTTGTATCACATCAAACTTTATTTTTTTTTAATGAAACCCCCTGTATATTATTGCATATTTCAATTCTTCCTTCAATTTTAAGTAATAATCGTAATACAAAATGTACAGGGTTATCATTTTAGTTTGACCCACTTTTAAAAGCTTATAACTTTTTTGTTTGTTGGATTAAAGCAGTCATTCAAAAAGCATGTTGTAGCAGTTTCAGCCAAGTTTTTGCGTGTCATGTAACATTTTGTATGGTACATGGTACATGTGTATGTACAACATGGTACATTTTGCTCTCATTTTATACATCTACTAGCGTGTACCAGCGACTTCGTTCGCGTCGAATTAATCATTTGTAATGGTGATGATAAAGCAAAGCAAGAATTTCCATTAACATACAAACTGGATAAAATTTTCTCACATTTATGTCAGCATGAGAAAAAACAATGTGGCGATATTATTATATAACTTGGTAATATTTGAGGGGTAGTTTCATCTCGTTGGAATTTGACTTTCGAAAAATCCGTTTGCCAAAAATAAGCTTTTTATGTCAAGCAGTTTAAGCAGAATCGTGGTTAAGAAATTACCCAACTTTTTGGAACACCCTCAAATTCAAAACATGTTAAAAAAACAAATAAATTATGCTTGTCCAAGCGTTTTCCCGAAAGACTAACCGTTTTTAAACGGTTTTATTTAGCTCGACCCGTACGGTATTTATTTATTTGTTTGTTTATTTGGGTCAAAATTAGAAATTGAAATTTAAGTACCTTCCTGTTGTCAGATTGATCTGAAATTTGGTACACACCTTTAGTTCCGATGACAATACAATATAGTAATATCAATAACATTGTAAATCTAAGATGGCCGCCGGTACAAAATGGCGGATTTCATATTTTTCCACAACCCCCTCAATATGGGTATCAAATGAAAGGGCTACGCTAGTAGAATACTGTGATTATGACAAAATTTAAAATCCAAGATGGACGTCGTTACAAAATGGCGTATTAGGTGAGGGCATGAGTAGTCGTGTCCAGATCAGTTGTGTCCAAAATTGTGTGACGTTAGAAGGACAGATAAAAAAAAATAGGTGATTAGATGTACCTACGTAGTTAGCGGTAGCTTTACCACCCAAGTTAAGGTAATAGGTTAAAACGTGCTGAGGACTGTATGGCATTAGGGTGGCTAAAAATGTAATGTCGCAAGCGTTTTCCCCTCAAGATTGGGCGCCTCTTGTTGTATATTATAGCCTTGCCCCTCTACTGGACCTCTGGGGGGGTCGACCGTTAAAATGTCCATTACTCGTGGGAACTTCAAAACCCAAGTGATGAGTTTGCAACAGACAAAGCGTTAAGGTTTTGTCATGGGCATCCACCGTCCATAAAATGCAGGGCAGCACAGTCGACCATGCAGTAGTGTATTTGGGCTCAAAATTGTTTGAGGAAGGGCAAGCATACGTTGCTCTAAGTCGAGTCAAGTCTCTGGAAGGGCTATGTATTGAGGAATTAGATTGTAATAAATTATCAGGTAAAAAACCATGTAATAATGATGCACTAAATGAATTAAATAGAATGAGGAATATTTGGTAGGCATTTCCGTTAAATACTAAAAACTAAAAAATAAAAAATCGGTAAAAAAACTTTTAAGTTAAACGGTTTTATCTTATGTGCACTGAAAACTAGAAAATAATAATAACAATTAGGTATTTTGAACTTCTAGTTCAGAAATATTTTAGTACTAGGCAGAATAGCTTTTAGGCATATTAGACTAAAATAAAAACGTGGGGCCCCTCTGAAATCCTACCTATGGCAAAGTATATCTTTATATACTTTGGTAGATCATGAGCTCGGCGTTCGCTGGTGAAGCCGCCACGGCTGGTTATTGATTGTCAAAATCTCCAGTTACGATTATAGTAAGTCGATGCAATCCACACTTAGTATAGAAGAAAGTATTACAGCAATAGTTAATGGGCCCCACGTTTCTATTTTAGTCTAATATGCCTAAAAGCTATTCTGCCTAGTACTAAAATATTTCTGAACTAGAAGTTCAAAATACCTAATTGTTATTATTATTTTCTAGTTTTCAGTGCATATAAGATAAAACCGTTTAACTTAAAAGTTTTTTTACCGATTTTTTTTAAATAACAAATATTGTAATATTTGAGGGGCGTTTTCAATTTGAGATTTGATAAACCCCTCCTTATCGAACCTCTACGCCCTACAGTCAATCCGTTTGCCAAAAATCAGCTTTAAACGTCAAGTAGTTTAAACAGAATCGTAATTACTCAATGGTCATATTTTATGAAACACCCTATAGAGATTTATAAAAAATCTTAAAATATGTAAAACAACAAAATAAAATATACGTGTTTAAGAGTTTTTCCGAAAAACTCACCGGTTTTTAAATAAAAAATATTTTAATATTTGAGGGATAGTTTCACCCCCTTAGAATTCGAGTTTCGAAAAAACCCTTCTAATCGAACCTCTACACCCTAAAGTCAATCTGTTTTCCAAAAATCAGCTTTTTACGTCAAGCGCTTTAAGCAGTATCGTGATTAATCAATGACCAGATTTTTCGAAACACCATGTATACATACATTTTTAAAAAAATCTTAAAATATGTAAAAAAACAAAATAAAATATACGTGTTTAAGCGTTTTTTCGGAAACTTGACTGTTTTTTAAATAAAAAATATTATAATATTTGAGGGGTGGTTTCACCCTCTTGGAACTGGAATTTCGAAAAATCCCTCCTTATCGAACCTCTACACCCTAGAATCAACCTGTATGCCAAAATTGAGCTTCTTACGTTGAGTGGTTTGAGTAGGACCGTGATTAATCAGTATGTCAGTCACTTAAGGATTTTATATATTAGTATAGATAAATGCTAAATAATATACAGGGGGTTCTATTTAAAAAAAATATGCAATAATATACAGGGGGTTCTATTTAAAAAAAATGAAACTTTGATGTGCCACGACTTTATGACCGACCCTGTATACTTAAATTTATTACCCGCTAATAGATATTTATAAACCCTATAACTTTTATATTTAACTTTTTGCGTTACCTCCTATATTTTACCTAATAATCGATCGTTTCCATACATAAAATCGACCCTGTATATAATGTATTATTATTTGTATATTAACTATATTGTTTTAACTATATTTATAAATAATGTATTCCAGACCCATCGGAGCTGACATGCAGACAGGCGACTTCATCACCGAAACATGGTTCATGGCCCTACTCATCAGCATGATCCTAGTCATGGTCCTGCTCTTCGGCGCCATGTTCTTCGTCAGACGCAGACAACTCCTCTCCAAGAAAACCATGACCCCTTCCCGATCAAACGGAGGTGTCCTCTCAACACCCCTGGCCTCAAAACAGGAAGCCCCCCTCTGGCTGGATAAAGATATCCCGGATTATACCTCAACCTTCCCGGAGTACTCAAAACTCACTCAGAACAGAGAGTACTCATCCAGCCAAAGAAAAGAGTACAGTAATGGGAGTTTGCCTCAAGGAAACAGCAATATTAATCTCCACACGAATCCGCTGCATTATAAGGAGCAGTACAGTGTTGCCAGGCCGGATAACTTGGAATATGGATCGGAAAGCGGGTATCCTGTGAGGAAGTTTAATGATTACAACTTGATGCAGGTGCAGGAGTATGCCAGTCCGAATTTAGGGAATGATAGGGGTTCGCAGATAGCGGATTATGCTGAGGTTGATGCTACGTTGGCTAGTAATCATGAGAAGGGGAATATTTCACCAGCACCGTATGCTACAACGACGTTGGTTACAGGAAGTAGGAGACTGGTAAGTTATTATCAACTTTGTTACTATATAATTATAATTTATTTTTATCTAACAGTATGTGCCCAGATTATTTTTACAAGAAGCAAAACTTTTTTATTATTGACATTTTGAGAAAAATGCACTCTTCATAAAAAATTTTGCTTGTTCTAAAATGGTTAATCCAGTTTATACTTTTCCAAATTTCCATACCGTTTTATAGAAAAGAAAAAAAGTCCTAAAAATCAAAACGCGTTTCAATGGTAATATAATTTTGTTTTCATTCCTTGATACATTGTTACTGATAGAATTTTAATTAACGTCATATTTCTGCTGTTTTAAAATGTGTAGAACACCCAATATATTAATTGATTTTCGGATTCTAGGAATTTTCAGTTATCAAAGAAGCATATATGCCTAAACTGTAACGATTTTGACATATTTCACATTATTGTGTGAAAACAAAGTTTTATAAATCTTGCAAAGGAAAAATGGCCAAACAGTGTATTTATTTATACAGATGGCTCAAAAGATCAAGACGGGAAGGTTGGACTGTAATATCCTATAAACTATAGATAGACACAATTTTTTTCATATTTAGCAATTTTTTTATCTCTTAAAATCTATAGGATACCTATACAGTACATTCATATCTGGAACACACTACAAACAATTTGCTGAAATTAAATAATTTGGTGTGTAATAATAAAAAATTAAGTAATAAATAGAACGGTTAAAAATAATAGGTAAGGATAAAGACGAACTTGAGTAATATATGTTTATTAATTAAAAATATTTTAATATAACAATATACATTTTTTTTTATTTAATTTGAGCAAAAACCGATTTCCCTGCATGACATCCTTTTCAAATTCAACAAGACAGAACACATAAAACAAATCGCTTTGTTTTTGAATGTTAGTAATTTAAAACTCTAAATATTTACTAATAACAAGCCTAACATTAACTTTATAATCAAGAAAAAAAAACTAGCCGCAAATTTGAAATCTCATAATCACATTTTCTTGAAATGCACAGTAATTATTGGGACTTATACATACTTATACATAACTGAATAGCTGCAGAGCTTAAAGCAACTTGCTTAATAGCCTCAATAATTGTTAGTCGTTAAGAAGGATAAATCGGTGAAGGTTCATAAAATGTGACCACCCAGAAAAAAGAAAAACAGAAAAGTACTTTGCCAGAATGGTCCTGACAGCCTAGGCACCCTACGCAACTCTCTCCTGAAAAGGAGAGTTTGAGAAGAAAGGAGAAGAAGAAGAAGAAGAAGAGTAAAGAAGAAGAAGAAGAGTAAATTTTAAATTTCAATCACAGCTGCCTAAATTTTAATTTACCCTGTATAGCTCGATATACAATAACCATTTTAAACCAAATTAAAATTTGACTCGAAAAGTTATACAGGGTGAGACAAAATTAATATGGAACATTTGTCACTTTTAAAAGCAAGTTACTCCTTTATTTTAAATGGATGTCTTTCCCTTGGACAACAGCACGATACAGAGTTTCGAACCGGTCACCCGTCCATCCACCAGTATCGCCTGACGTCGCTTAACTTCGGTGTTCTAATGGGAACCGGTGTTTCAACGTAGCTAGACCGTTGCCTCTTTATTTTTAGAAAATGTTAAATATGTCAAAAGCCTTACATTTTAGTCATATACTTCTCTAATAAAACTCACCTTTATTTTTCTCAGAATTCGAAAAAAAATCAATATATAGGGTGTTCCATTACAAAAAACCCAACTTTGATATGTAACTTTTTTGGAGGACATCTCTCTATATTTTTAAAAAGTGCTCTGAATTAACCTACATAATATGCTCACAAAATTTAATTTGAATACAAAGTGTCGTTCTCCCTGGAGCCTCCGCGTCGTTTGGGGTTTGGGAGGCGCCACCCTGTATCTTAATATCTAAATTCAGCGTTTCATTTTTCCAGATCTGGAACAACTCACCATCGTGCCCCTCAGACGACGAATCCCCATACCCATCCTCCAACGGAGGCTACTACAACAGGAAAGTCTACTCGGACTCCTATTTTGCACCCACGCACACCCTGCGCAGGCCCAAAAAGGACCACCACTACAGAAAAAACTCTAGAGAAGAGTCCAACCCTCCGGACCTGGTCTCTCCCAATTCCACCCAAGCAGACCAGCCGGTGTACGCTAGGGTTGGACCACCGGCTTTATCCTGGAGGAATGGTGCTCCGAGCTTGTCCAGTTTTACGCCGAACGCTACGAGGCACGTGTATCATCATGGGTCTTCGAAAAGCGAACCGGGGAACATGCTCTAATGGATCTGAAAGTTAAGAGATTTTAAGTGATAATGTAATGGTAACGATGGTAGTGGTAAGGATGAAGTAAAAGAAGTACTATTTAACAGACATGATTAGTGGGTAATTGAATAAAGAAACTAAGAAAGGAATTTGAATGTTTATTTAACATTTTAAAATATAAAGTTAAGTAGGACGCAATAATTTACTTTTGTTTTACGTTTGAGTAAGAGAATTTAATCGTGAGACCCTTTAAACTCTAACGTGCTGTTTGGCATACCGCGATACTATTTTTTATGAATAAGACAAAATAAACAAAAACAACTCCCCAAGTAGCATTTTCACGACTTGCGACCACATATTTACTAAACACGACGTTGGATTAGTTACAAAAAATAGTTGTACCTTGGGAATTAAAATAAATGTAAACGTTGTTGTGACGTTGTGCCGACGTTGAACTAGTACTACAACAAAGTAAAAGCTTCTGCGACGTCGAATAAACGTTGTCTTGTAACCTTTTTTGCTTAAGTGATCTTTAGGTGATTCGGACAACGTAGTTACAATGTTGGGCAATAAAGAGTTTTCCGACGTCACTTTCAGGACCTATTCCAACGTTATGCAAACGTCGTCTGTTTTACTAATTCCAACGTTGTTTAGATTTCCTTATTCTTATTCTTATTCGTTGATAGGACGTCGAGCCACTACCTTTTTGCAACTGTATTGACCTTAAATCTTAAATTTTCACTTCATTGTTCTGTTCAGTCAGACACTTCAGTGCTGTTTTTGTTTTTTTTATAAAAAAAGCTTAATTAAAATGACATAAGAAAGGTACATATAAAACTAAATTTAAATATACATCGACATATTACCGATACTTTATCCACTCCCTCGTTTATTTAGAATATAGAGGGCGGCACAAGCTAGACTCTAGGATGACTAAATTAGGCAATCTTGCAACTAGTATACTACCTGTTAAGGCTGAACTGCGACTTTATTAGTCCAGTATGCGACTACTCGAACTACTCCATCTTAATCTCCAAAACAACAAAGTGAAGCCGCCATGTTGAATAAGAAAATGTTTCGTTCCTAAAATAGTAATTCCTGCTTTTTGAATACATTAACTTGAAATATTTGACCCTAAACAACACGCGGAAACAATTTTTTCGACTGCGAATAAATTATTCTCATTTTACTAAAAAAAAATTTAAAACTTGTTTAATTTTAAGGCCCATTAGTATTTTTCAAAGTAGAAACAATACATTTATCAATAAAGTTGTTTGCGTTTAACTTTTTTGCCTTGGGTAACGAGTTACAGAGTCGGTTAAAGTGTTTCAATAATTATGATCTTCAAACATCCTCCACACTTAAATACTTTTGTTTTGTTTTCCTTTACTGCCATCTGGCATATGTCTCTAAAGGCGGGTTCTCACTTGTCAGTTTCGCTGACGCAGTCTGACTGATTCACTTTCAATGAAAAATAAAAATCAACGATTGTATTCACACGTTTCATGTTTTGCTACATTCAGTATTCAGTTGGTCCAAACATTTTAACGTGGTGATTTCGTAGACATGAAAATGGTTGAAACAAAATTGAAACCAGGTGTTCGCGAAGTTTGTTTACAATTAGAAAATGAATTACAGAATATTCTGGTGAATCAGAAAAGAAGAAAACGTTTTTTTTTAAAGCAGATACGTCTACAAGAAACCGTTGACGTTCTATTTTAACAGAACGTCAACGGTTTCTTGTAGACGCATCTGCTTTAAAAAAAACTAAAGTGTTCTCATAATAGTTTGAATTTAAATATTTTAAATAGTTTTTTTCTTTATTCTTTGATTTTTTTTGCTTCCGATAGACTTTCCGAAACGTTAAGCATTTTTTTCTTTGTTAGGCAAATTTGTATAACTGTAAACATAACTTCTGACAAGCAGTGTCCGTTTAGGTTTAACGCAGAAGTGTTTACAAAAAATAACTATTTTATTTTGTAGATTTTCTTGCAGTGCAGTTGCGAAATACCTATAAGGATTTTTTGGAGATACATATTAAAATAATTAATTAACTTTAACTTGTAAACTGAACAAATCACGAAAATGTAGTTCTCACGCTTCAGTTTCTATTCATTATTCGATAATGATCAGTCAAAAATGAAAAAAAGTAGAACTGGTTTTCACTTTAACTGAAAGTACAAATTTACTGATCATTTAACATGAAAATGTGTTCTGACGTTCATTATTTGTTCAGTATCACTGAATCAGTCAGACTGCGTCAGCGAAACTGACAAGTGAGAACCCGCCTTAACTAAATCATAAAAATAATATTTTTACTATAATTATCCCAATTTAGGATAAAACGCGACTTAGACGCCATAGTATTATAGTTTTGTATTTCTGTGAATTAGGATTTTAAACAACGTTGCAGTTTGTACTAAATTAGGCTGCTAGCCAACGTCGGTATCCAACGTCGTTTCGACCCAAAAATTATTCTCCAAACTACTGCAGACTAGGGTTGGCACGAGGTTGTGCCGACGTTGCGCCCCGACGTTTGGTCGCTTGACACAACTTTCAAATTTCTCGTATCAAAAAACTCCTAGACACCAATTTTCATCCAAATATTGACGTTACTTCAGCAATTATTTGGAAAAAATCGAAATAATAATGAAACACTCTACACCCTGTATCTCCGAAACTAAGCATTTCAGGACATACATTTATACGAACTTTTTTACTTATTTTTATCTGCAGAATATGCTGCCGAAGTTTCCGGAATACAGTTTGGACCACCCTGTATAATACTAATTAAAAGACAAACAAAACATCATTCAGCAAACGCAATAAGCACTCAAAAGTCAAATTTGACTATCATGGCGTCCCTTCCTTCTTAAATATATAGATATAAAAATAATACTTGAATTCTTGCTTGGTGTCTTAATTCAATGTAATGATGTCGGTAGGTATGCACACAGGTATGCAGCTAACATTAAACTCAGTCCTATAATGATTTTTCCTCTTATCTTGTTTCTTTAATGTGAACCTTCAGTATTGTTAATATAAGGTCTAAAATGAAATGGCCACCATAGTAGCATTTTTTAAGAACTGAGTGACAAAAAGAACTTTAATTTTTAGAGAAATGATCTAATACGACTTGTGTATAAAATTTAATTTTTTCTAAATTTAATTTACAGTAATATATGTTTTAATTATTCTTTCTTATTCTTTAAGAAGTTTAATAAATTAATATTTGATTATTATTGATTTCAAAGAGAGGTATATCTCTTTAAAGATTTTCACTAGAACACCATAAACTAATAACTAAGACAGACAGCTCAATATAGGCCTTAAATAAAGAATACATTAGGTCTATATTTTACATTGTCAATTTCTAAGTAGATTTCTTTAGGATTCGACGTATTGTTGGTTGCATTTCCAGAAATATCCTACTAATCATCCCAATTTCCTGGAACGAAGTTCCTAATTGATCTTTTTTCTTGGATCTGATTGACTAAAATATCAAGAATATATGTGATCGTGGTTTTCTCTGTAACAAACCAGAATATCAGGTTTTCTGTTCCTGAAATAAAAAAAGTATTTAAATTTATACATTATTTTTTATTAATTTACTGTTAAATACAGATCTGAAAAGAATATTATTCTTATTGGAAAATTTTTTATAATTATATCATGAACTAACAAAAATTTTGTCTGATATTTTTACTCTATATATTACTGTATGGCCTAACCAAAATATCATTTAATATGTAAAAAATAATACTTTTTTGGCCTATAAACTCTGATTGAAAAAATCTCTAAATATTACAATGAATATTGTGACTTACCCTCGTATATATTGACTTATTTTGTATTATATATAGAATATTTTCTTCTTCCCGACGAAGAAGTGTAGTTCTAAGGCCTATTCCTACATATGACGTAAGCAAAATTGCCTACGTAGTCTATAGTTAAAAAAAACTTTGTATATAATCAATAATTTAATAATTTTTTATGTTAAAGGATCCCAAGGAAGCAGAAAATAATAATAAAATAGGGAAATAAACACAAATATACGTATAAAACACTATAAAATATTACAGATAACTAGTTCAAACATAGTTTAAAACAGAACTAGTATAGTTTGAATGAAGAAAATATATACGTAAATATACAATAGATATAGAGAAACTATTTGAATTTTTTTTGATAATATTTTTGTAAGAAAGTAAAACGCATCTGTATGAAGATAATAATATTTTTGAATGATAAATGTTAAAAAATAAACAAAATAATTAAATATGAAACAAAAAATATTGATGAAAAATATATATATTTCCGAAAAATTAATGTTTATTAAGAAAGTAATAAATAAGATAACTACACTTTCCTGTTCATAGAAAAATTTTGATGTAGTATAATAGCTGATTAAATCTTTCTTGGGATTCTTTAAAATAGTTTTTGGTTTATATATATACAGTGGGCTTAAAATAAGTATGGGTCTCACAAAAAAAGTAAAACGTTTTCAGGTTTAACATTTATTAATATGTCGATATTTATTTGAGACCCCCCTGTATATTTGATCAAAAATCAAAGTCCTTCTGTATCATAGTTTCGCAAGTTTTTAAAAACATTTAGCGAGAAAAAAATAATAGTTTTTAGGACAAGACTGATATTTGTAAAGATAATGCCTAACTTGTTACTATGAACAAGTGTTATTGTTAAGTTTATTTTGTATAAAAAAACTCAAAATACTTTGAGTTTCTTAATAGTTACCTACCAATTAATCATAGATGGTAAAACAACAAAAAAACATCTCACATCTCAGTGTTTAAAAATAATAATCTCAGGAAATTATTAAGAAACTCTTTTCTAAACTCCCTGTATATAGAATGATACCGTCACTACGAAAATCCTTCTAGTCTAATGTTTTTAAATGCAAGTCCTCTTTCTATATGTCTGTGTAAAATTCTAAATACGATGTAAGAAATTCGATATATTTCTGAAACTAAAAAAATCGTGATATATCCTAAAATAGCGTTTTTGATATTAGAAGTAAAAGTAGGCTAGGTGTTTCTAAAATTACTACCCTGTATAATATGACATATCATAGTTTGTTTTAAAAAAATATTCTTCCAAACGAGCAAAAAATATTGTTTTAATTTTTATTTTGTTTATAATATGTGTCTTGATTAAATTTTACTTAATATTACATACATAAAATACCTATAAAAAATATAAAAATATATAGAATATACTTCACTCTTTTGGCGATTTGAAATCACATTTTATGACACAGATTTTAAAAGGTATGTACTTTTAGACAGACTGACAGTTGAAACAGTAGAACAAGCAATAAAACAGCAAAAC